GGGGTTCAGTCTGTGCACTGGAGGGTCATGGGGACTTTTAGACAAGCGGGGTTCAGTCTGTGCACTGGAGGGTCATGGGGACTTTTAGACAAGTGGGGTTCAGTCTGTGCACTGGAGGGTCATGGGGACTTTTAGAGAAGCGGGGTTCAGTCTGTGCACTGGAGGGTCATGGGGACTTTTAGACAAGCAGTGCTACAGGTCTGTGTAAAGAATTTAGTTGTACTATTTTGTGGTGATTTGGTTCCCTGAGTTGATACTTCTTCATGGTGTTTATTGGTTTCAAACCCCCTTTCTCCAAATTAGAAAAGGCTCTTATTCTTGCAATGGAAAGTCACAGTACTGCACAAGTTTGCCAGTTAATGTTCCAAACTATGCGACTGTCCAGATCATGGTTCTTGTTAGGAACTTTCTGAAGAACAGTGACATCACTGTTATTAACCAACAGGTAACCAGTCCGTTATTTAAAAGAAGTAAGGCAACTGAGGCCTTAGGTTGAGATGGATATTGTTACTTCTTGGGCAGAACATTGGTGTTTAAGATGGTGTTTAAGTGAGTTAATATTTTTTCATGTTACTGCCTGTCTTTGTGCTAAAAGAATTGTTGAGCAACAATGCTCAGTTGGTTATTGTATAGAATATGCAGCCTTTATTAAATTAAATAACGAAAAGGTGTACCTTGTACATTTTTCTCTTTAACCCAGATCACCACCTAACCTACTAGGCAACAGTGATATAGCAAAATTTAGTGTGGGCCTGTCTGACCCTACTGAAAGGGAAACAAGGCTGAGATCTCACAGGTGAGCCCCAGTCCTGGCGAGTCGCTAACACTCCACAGGTATTCCAGAGGTGTGGAAAGGCATCCCGGCCTGGTGGACTCATGGCTGGAAGATGTGCAGTGCAGTGTAAGATCCGAGTTTGCGGGGCTGTTTGTTTCAAACACATAAGCACCAGTCACTTTCTGCGACAGCTTTGCTTCCTTTGCCCAGCTGGAAGCAGGTGCAGCTCCTGACAGATTTCCAGCACGGTCCTATTGGCATTGTGAATTCTGCGTGCCTTTGAAAATCCTCTGAGTTAAGACTCAATCTAATTAAATTGAAATTCTTCATTAGCAGGCAAACACGTGATATCTTGGTGACTTTATGACTTTGACAAGAAGGTTCTGAGAGCATCCTCTCATTTCTCAGAAGCTGGCGAAGTCGCATGCTGGCGCCAACATGCCATCGCATCCTGGAGGAGCCCAGCGCTGGGAATTTGTCAGGTCTCAGGGTGACCTCAGTTTTGGCATGGCAGACAGGCATGCACGCACCCACAGTGTGGAAACGAGTCCCCTGTTACTCGTGGCCCAGGGTCTGAGCTGCTGTAGGTCGATACCCTGAGCAGGCACCTGGCCTTTCTTTCCTCAGCAGGGGGGACTGAGCCAGGCAGCAGGACATCCTGATAAAACTCAAAAGAGATTTCTGAAAATCTGGGAATGAGTCTCAATCAAATTCACTGCCAGGGGAGTTGAGCTTGGCAGCAGTGTGAAGCAGTGGTCAGGGTTTTGGAATCGGAGCTGGAAGGCTGAGGCTTTGAATCCCAGGTGAGAGTGCTGTTGTAACCCTTGAGCAAGGGTGCCTACCTGAAGTGGTCCATTAACATGCCCAGCTGTGAAGATGGGTACAAACATCGCTTTTAATAAAAGTGTCAACTGAATACATTGGTAATAGATGAGAACACCACTTTTAAAAACATTAAGAAGGAAACAGCAATTTTCAATATGTTTTGACAGGTGGTATTCAAAAAGCAGTTAAAATATAAATTTTTGCTGTCATTTACGGGGGCTTGTTAGTGTTGATACTGGCTCTTTAACTGGTGTGCCTGTGCTTGATGTGATCTTCACTGTGGGCTGGTGGGAGTCCACCGTGTCAGAACAAGCCACCTTGAAGGCCTGGGAGTGCGAGGCCATTGGCTGAGGACAAGCATGTGCAGAGCACGTGTGTGTGGAGACGCAGCTGGCCAGGCCGGCGGGGCTCCAGAGTGGATGTACGAGAGCATTGATGTGGCGGGGAAACACTATCCTGTGGAGAGGGGGGCCGGGGGGGGGGTGCGGGGGGGGGGGGCAGCCTTCTGGGATTAGGAATGGTTGCGGCTGTGGATTCTCTGTGTTTTCCGGGGCACTGGGAAAAGAAGGTGGGGCGCTTGTAATTGCCGATAAAAGGAAAATGGGGGGTGGGAAAAAAAGTGTTGTTTTGGGTCCATCTGTGCATGGTTTTGCCAGAATTGCGGTCTGCAGCTAAGTAAGGCAACACAGGATTGAACTCAGATGGCACTCATTCTGCTGAAGAGCTTACAGCCCTGCTGAGGTGGCTGAGCCCCTCAAACATGAGCTGTAGGCTGTACACCTCAGGGGACCAGCAGGAGGTGTTCGCAGGTGTGTGTTTGCTCTCTCTGCCCGTGTCCCAGTGATTTCTGTCTGTGATTGCTGCCCCTGTCTCAGCCCCCCTCGGTTCAGTTCTGTTTTATTTTTTGTGAAGCTGCCTTTTACGACGAGCTGTGAAAGAGCACTTTCACAGCTTTTTACACAGACTGTCCAGACTGGCTTGTACAGTGCGATGAGTCACGAGGAAGTTGCCATACCTGGATGTAAAGCAGAGCAGTGTCTCGCCGAGTCACTGCGCAGCGTCAGGAGTGGAGGAGAGAAGAACAGCCCTGTAAGGAGGAGAGGAAACCTCTGGGGGCCCGAGGCCTGGTGATGCGCCGCCTCTGGGCACGAGCTGTGTGGTGAGGTCGTGAGTGCACTTGCGTGAGCTGCGCTGAGACAGGTCGTATGTGTTCTGTGAGGCTCAGAGTGTGAAAGTGAGTGTGCAGTGGGAGTGGGAAATCTCTTATTGTGTTGAATTGGTGGTATCCATCCCTGAAGATTATACTTAAAAATACTTATCAACCTTATCACCAATTTTCACCATTCACCAATTTTCCTGTGTTGACTACAGAGTATGTCTTACACAACTTCGAGCTAAGAACTGTGTGAGCCTGTGTTGTCAGCAGTGAAATGAGTAAAAGGTTAACTTCACGTTGAGAAGTAGAAAGAAGAAATGTTTCGGCTGTAGGGCTGATTTTATGTGTGTCTTTATCAGGTAGTGTGAGGTGACTTTACAGGTTTTCCCAGTAAACGGGAGACCATCTTAGCTCATGGCTGCAGCACAGGGCATGAGGTTTGAGGTTTTGAAGTGTTCTGGAGGAGACGCTGGTGTTTGGAGAGGTGCTGAGCTGGGGGCTGTGGGGGACTGAGAATGGGTTTGGCGCTGGTCTCCTCGGCCGGAAGACCAGTTTCCTGTCCAAACACCTGCAGCAAGACGCCAGTGGGGCATGAGGACAGGCAGCCGGTGTTGTGAGGGAGTAGGAACAGAACTACAAGAGCAGACTGCCGGAGGAGAGGTACAAGCAATTCATCCAAGGCTAGATGGTCCCGTGTTGCATATACATTTTAGAAACCTGGAACAGATGTCTCATGTTGTGTAGAAGACCGTTTTTGAATCTAATTAAATCCCCAGAGTGATTTGATTTTTATATTATCAGTCATATTATCAAGCATTATCAGCTTGTGCATATCAAACACGCTTTTCTTTTGTTGTTC